CACTATTTAGTAGGCCCCCCTCTCAACGCCCCCAGGAAAAATTTGGAAATTATTCTGCCCCCCTGGGGTGCTTTGCTAGAATTGTTTATGAGGTATTGCTACTGAACCCCCTGCGAGGCCGCATGTGGGAGTTAGCCAACCCCCAAACCAGAAGCCTTAATAGTTTATAGTTTTGCCCTCCTGTATACAGTCTCCATAACCCACAGAAATTATTTGTAGTAGTGGTTTGCATTTTTACTATCGATACCTCCTTTATTGTGGACAGGTTAGCTTTACAGAAAAAATACGCAGCAGGAGTTGAGCCCAGGACCTCCGGCATCTGAACCCCAATGCAACACCACTAGCCCCTAGGCCACATTAGCTCTTGACGCCGGTGTGGAAACATGGTCTTGGTATATATATATATATATCTTGGTTTTTGTTGGCTTGTCAGCTGAGGTGATTTATCTCCACTAAACCATAAAACCAAAAAGGACCAGCCGGCACAAACTGAGCAAAGCGGATTTGTTAAAAGATGAACATGGAAATCCGTGCTCAAGCAAGCCAGGGGCCACAATAGAGAGAGGCGCAATAATTATGGATAGGATATGAATCTCTATTGTGTGGATCCTTGGCGCTCATAAGGGGCACCCATTAAGACTGTTGAAGTGAAGCCTTTTATAAGGGGTTTAAGTAGGAATGAATAGTTTTGGAAACTGGGTGATTTTAGATGTTCGTGTATTGTGTTTTTTTGTTAAAAAGAAATGTAGAGGAAAGCATTCTCAAGCAAGCCAGGAGCCCTCGGGAGTCGCTGTGGCAGAGTGGGTCTCTTTTCTGTCCTGAAGCTTCTGTGTGTGCATGAAAAGAACCTGAAACATCTGCAGTCATGTTGTTTGTGCAAGAATATGTGTGGTTATTTGTTGAGTTTTGTTATTAGTTAGTTTATTTTTTTTTCGGAATTCGATTTTTTAATTAAGGATCCTAAGTGTGGAAAGTGCTAATTATTGATTATTTTTGGTCGAATACTAAATCAACTTAGATCTGGATTTTTCTGAAAAACATGATTTTCTAATTACTCACCCCCACACACAAATATTGATCTCACATTAGCAATATTACTTTATGATTTGCACACCGTGTTTGTATCGTGTAGGGCGTGTGTGAGCTGCTTGTGCTAAATGTCCGTGTCATTTGCTCAGTTGGATCCACACTGATGCTCATCATATCATTTGCACCTAGTATAATTAGGTAAGAGGGTGCCAATGTCTCATTGCTGCAGTGTGCTTTGCGCTGCTATTTGCATGCAAATGCTGTTGAACCATTGCGTTCTCACTGTGATATACATTGAGGTTATCCTAATGTCATACGATGCCAAACAACGCCTTTGACACCCAAAGGCCCTTTCCATCCACACTGTCATTTACAAGCAGTTGAGTTGAGTGTCCCCTGAAAGCTCTTGGGTGCACAGCACACATTCTGGGCAATTTTCTTTTTATGAACCCCAGACCTTGCATATTTGTATTGTTTCTAGACAAACAGGTGACATCACCATAACATCATTGAAGCTCCAACATTAGGTCGCCGAATCAAACACCAAAAATCATATGCCCCCAAAACACTGTAGCGCTGTTGAATATAGTTTCCCCTCGGCAGATTTGGAGGCAGAAGTAAGTTGTTGCGAAACTGCTGTGTCACATCCTGTTGGACTTCCTTTTTTGTTTTCGAGTTTCTTCCTGAGAGATGTCCAGCCTGGAGAAGACACTGAGGCAGCTTGTGCAAGACTACTGCATCGGAGCTTTGTTTAACATATCCAGAGCCCCTGCAAACCTGCCCCTTGGTTGGACACTACAAGCAGCTCAAGTGCAGACCAAATGCAAAAACACTTAAATAGACACGACAACACTTGCCATGCAGCACTTGAGAAGGCATATTCTCTTTTTTTCTGCAAGTTCAGGCTCGATCTTGCGCTCACTGGCGGCGAAAAAGTGGTCAAAGCAGCTTTGGCCAGACATCCTGATGCACCTACTGTGCGGCGGGTTGGTCAGGAGTGGCTTTTGTGTGATTCAGCTGTAGTCCGCAAGATGCAACCATTTGGGAAAGTTTGGGTGAAGTGTTGTGGTCCTTTTCGACAGGACTTGGCACAAGCCCTCGAGTCTGCCCGGCCATGAGCGCAGCAATGCAGCACGACTTCGAGCAAAACGGGCATGATAAACGTCATCAGTACCACTAGTGCTGTGACATGATGGGGAGGTCTCCAAAGCCCGGGGACCTCAAATGCTCTTATCAAGACAGCACATTGACATGCCATGTTCATGTTTTCAGATGGTGGAGACAAGTTCTGCAGAAATAGGCCTTACTTGCTCCTAGGTGCAAAGTTGCCGTGCGTTTTACTGCGGTTGGATCAACGCAAATCCAGAGCTGCACAATAGGTGTGCAAGTGTATACATGACATAAGTATATTATATAAGCCTGAAAGAATGCAACACGTGGTTTTGAGGCAACGTGCTCAAATGATTACAGCATGATGCCTGAAAGGCTTTGGGCTGAGCAGCGCCCACGCGACTCAGTGTACAAGGCGTTCCGGGAAGCACTTGGGAGGTGGCTTAGGGTGCTAGTGTGCATGTCCTGTTCAACGTTTTGACTCTTGAAATACTGTATATCAACAATCATTCAATAGAGTTCGCCAATTCCCCCCAAGGACTGCTCAATTCTAGCGGCAATCCCATTTTGTTATTGTTCCTTACTGGTGCTTTGCATGGAACACTTTGCGGAATTGTTTGATGTTCAGTGGCGCAATATACTCACCTATGCTTGAGGAGCGCCGGAATTTGTACCACAGACTGTACTCACCTTACTCATGTCCAAACCAAATGTAGTGAATTCGTTTGAGCTGGTCAGGCGTGGTCGGCCCCAGGCCTATCGCCGTCCTGTTGAAGCCAGTGGCTTGTTTATCGAAGTAAGTTGGGAGGTTTGAAGCGTTTCCGGATTCTTCCACGCACAGCTGGTAGCTTTGTGGAAGGGTATGAGTATGATAAGCAGTGCTCGTGGATGGAATATCAATTATCATCGATCTGTTGTGCCAGATTACCTTGATTTTTGCTCGGCCATGCGCAGCCTTATGTAGGTGTCGATGGCATTGTGGCTTCCATGTGGCTCACAGGCAATAAATGGACTGGGTCGTTTTGCAGATGCCAAATGGTTGTCGTGTAGCAGCATACAGATGTCATGGTGTCACGGAATTGCACCATGCTTTGTCGCGAAGAAGGCCAACGTGCACTTGCACTGATTGACACTGTTTGATCACAACATATCACAACGAGGAAAGCTTACCCGCTGTTTTTGGTGACAAGAATGGTTTTCCTTCATCACTCCGTCCACATACAGTATTTAATGTATTTAATTGTTTGCTTCCGCACTTTGGCTGTTTCAGGTGATACGGGCTTGCTACAGGTCTCTTTTGGAGAGGTCCCCGCGCAGTGTTTGTTGGAGGATTTCGACAGTTCCCAACTTGACAACTTGCCTTGCCTAAGCCCATTACAGCAGATATTATACTATTATGTAGAGGCCAACTTGAAACGCAAGAGCATGGTAGCAGTTGAGGAACTCAATTGCACATTATAGATTCTTGTGTGGTAGCCATATTCGGGCTCCAGGACGCGCCTGAGATGTACGAGATTCCAGTTGGGAAGAAGTGGAGAGCTCAACATGCTTCAACAAGTACGTTCACCCTGTTTTTTATTGACGTCGGTGATGTCGGTCCATCCAGACATGTCAGTATATAGGTACATGGTTAGTAGTTCTAGTGATTCTAGTGTTTATTGTTGTCTCCGCGCCTTCATGGTAGAAACTGCACTATGTTTGAATTGTGCTTTGCGAGAATCGCTTAACCTATATACAAATATGTAAATCATGTGACTGTGCACATTGGGCACAATGGCGCAATTGCCTCAGACATTCAATGTTTCCAACGCATTGTTTCCTGGCAATGCTTGAAAGCACAACGCCAAGGTTTTATATTGCGTTGCCGTACCACCCTCACTGCTGTTGGGCGTGTTTGCAAGCAATAAATCATAATTGATGGCTTGCTTGTGGGCAACCCTGTGATAGGGGTCAAGCGGCTCTTCTTTTGTGAGAAAGAATTGTCAACAACTGAAGCTTAAGAACCATTTGACTAGCAAGTGGATCCAGAGTGGAGAAAGTGACAGCAAGTGACATCGGCCAATACTGTACTATAAGAGGAGGGCGACCTGAAGACCCGTTTCAGCGCGGCCTAGTCTTGCCTCTAGGCCAAGCATGGTCCCCATACCAGATGTTTGCTAAGATGCTGCGATGCAAATGGTTGTGAGTCAAAACAGCTGTAGTTATAGCCTATAGCTGATAACGTCAATCAGTTCCAGAAATGAACAGATCCTCCGATCCTCCCATATACCAAAGATCCAAACATCCTCGTAAAGTCACCCGACACCAGAAACCAGAAGTCAATCGGGTGTGCACTTCGCTACATGAGTATCATAAGTGGAAATAAGAGCGTGAGCGAGTACAGTTGCTCTTCATCCCCCACCAAGCCATGGTAGATTGGCAAAGATTCCCTTTAGAGGAACCGGTTCATTTTCACAGGTCAACCATGACGCCCGGGCTTTGACTGACCCACAGCCAAATATTGCCGGCAAGGTTCCTTTTTTGATGCTTTTTAGGTTGTTGAAGCTTTCTAGTCTAGAAGCTATTAGGTGGAGGCCATCGCTATTAGGTTTGGCAAGGAAACTTCACTCGGGCCCTGGTTTAGGCTCAAGAGCCTGAGAAGTTGGTGGAGCCAGTTAGGCTTAATATGGCTTAATTATAAGGAGGTATTTATTGAGAAAAGACAGCTGTAAGCAAAGATCCCGTTCTGGGGGTAAATCATGCCAGCTGTGCCTCTCAATTGTTCAGATTCAGATCTTGCTCGGTTCGAACAAGGCTGATCACCCATCACACAGCCAAGCATTTGTTCATGTCGTCAAAGAGTCCTTCAGCCTCACAGATTGCATTCTTTTGACATAAGTTTTTTGATTTTCCTCGGCCCCGCGGATGGCCCGGTCCTTTGAGACGGATGCAGCATTGGTTTTGCCTGGTCTTGGGCGATCTGTGCCTGGGCTGCTGAGTTTGGTAGGGAGCCAACCGCAGTCAACGTGAATTCACGTGGCACGAGCAGCATTTCCTATTGCAAGTCCGGTGGAAGGTCAGGAGGTCAGGGAACCAAATATTTGGAACTGACGCCAAATTCTACAATGTGGTGGAGGGGGGGCCCCCAGTCATGGAGAATGCCTGGTTTCCGGACGACAAATGTTGCATTCAGTCATTTGTTTGGGACGATGATTTGGTATTTATTCACAAGAGTTGTCCCCCAGAGCGCGAGAGAGAGAGAGATATTGCAAGAAGTAAACGCTGCTGGCTCACCCTTTGGGGCCCGTGACCACCATGTGAAGGAGAATTAGTAGCTTCTTGTTACTAGTAGCCTTGCTCCTAGTAGTAAGGCCAGGAGCCCCTAGTAGCGTCCTTGCTCCTAGTAGCGATGCCAGGAGCCCCCAGTAGCTTCTTGCTACCTGGAAAATTCAGTTTCTACAAGACGTGCGGTCCATGAATGTTTCTCCTTCCACATCGGCATTGGGAGGCGACAGCTTCGTTCAGAACAAGTCACAGCCGTACGAGCGAGAGACAGAGAAGCAAAGAAGCAGGCCAGATGCTTAGATACAACGATTGCTGTATATAAATATCAACCTTTTTTTTATATATATAGATATGGCTCTACGAGGTAGAGCCAGAGTCGGAAAAGTCAAAAGTTTCAAGAAACTTTGAAGATATTTTAGTGCCGTTGTGATGTGACGCGTGGTGGTTTGACATGTGTAGTTGTGTGTGTGAGAGACTAATGTTGCCGTGTTACTCGTTGTGACTCGTTGTATGGCACAATGTGGTGAAGTGTCAAGTGGTGATGTGTCCTTGCTCCTGGTAGCGATGCCCAAGTGTGATCTTCCTCTAAGTCTAAGTCTCTGAGTAGACATGTCGCTGTTTGCCTCCTCTTGCTTGTTCTCGAAGCCTGTATGCAAGTCCTTCTACTTCTACGTGTTTGATTTATCTTGTGCTACAATATAAATATATATATATTATATATATATATTATTGGAATCGATGGACATCTTCACTTCCCCACTTTCTTTGGATATGATATAGTCATATAGTTGTCCTAAAGATGTTTCCTCTCCTGAACTATCTAGAGGGTCTATAGCATCTATAGGCTATAGGTCCCTAAATAATAGAAACCCGCACCTTGCTGCTGCATTTGTTCGATTGAAATCGTTACCTTTTGGGTGGTTTTGTTACTGACATGCTTTGCTTGTCTTGGAGTCTAAGAATGTCTAAGACATCTACGTCTCTTTTTGCTTTTCATTTGGAAGCCTCTACTTTTCTATGTTTTCTCTCAAGTAATTTTTCATGTTTGTCCTTTTTTCTCTCGACATCTCTACCTCACGCTCACCCACCAGTGCGTTTCCAAACCCTCAGTTGCAGTCCCCATTGCGACTGCGAGCCCGCAGAAACTTGGCGCCGCCGCCAACTGCCTAATCACAACCAGTACAATTCGCTTTCAATCTCCCAGTTGCAGTCCCCGATCAAGTACACTAGCATGAAACAGCCGCAAAAATCCAGCCCTTTCCGCATTCTAGTGACGAGCGTCCTACTCTCACACGACGATATATCTTTACGAATAACTAGTAAGGCACTTGTTACTAGTAGCGATGCACTTGTTTCTAATAGCTTCTTGTTCCTAGTAGTAAGGCCCTTGCTCCTAGTAGCGATGCACTTGTTCCTAGGACGAATAACTATTTTGTTTTATTTTTATTGTTTCCATATCTCAGGAGTTTATCATAGAAATATTTACAAACCGCGTTTGACTATACACATTCCTGTATGAGTATTCCTTGTAAGCATTCAAGGTCCCTTCAGGAAAATTGCTAGCATTAAATCAAGTTAGTAAATGCACCCGTTACATGTTTATAGTATCTTCTTGTGGCTTCAGTGTGCCCCTCGAACGCCAAGTGATGCCTTGAGGGAACATATACAATCCTGTGTGCACCATTAGGGTCAGACGGATTGCGGCAGTGGATTCATGCATACTGTAAATGCTGCCCATTAGTTGGTTCCAATGCACTAGACGATGCGTTAGAGGCTGTGAGGTGCAGCTTTGCAGAAAGGTAGATAGATGCTACAAAAGTTTTTTAGGATCATGTATAGCTCCTGGCATTGCTACTAGGAGCAAGCAGCTACTAGTTACTAGGTGGAGGCCATTGCTATTAGGTTGGAGGCCATTACTACTAGTAGCAAGAAGCTAGTAGTAACAAGGGCATCGGTACTAATGTTTTTTGTTTTTGGCAATCCCATTTGAGCCATGTGCCCGTTGGGCTCACCAGGCGCTTCGCCGGTATCCCGGCAGAGCTCGCTGAATCATAATCGGCTCTTTGGCACACATGGTGAAGATTGATGGAGTGGTGTTGGTGAATTGTGGAATAAGATGTGTTATGTTGTTTGTCGATGTGTTAGTCATACTAGTTTGTTTGCCCACTTCCGACTTGGTAAGCGTGGGAACCAGAATACTTTGGCAAATGTCATTGACGGGCCCGTTGCTTCAGAGAATGGACTTGAAAAATCACACTGGGGTGACCAGGTACGATTCTTTGGGCACTGCTAGGTGGGTCTAGCACCGTGTTTGTCAACATTATTTGGATGGACATTTGTATTATTGTTTGGCGGATTTATTCAGTGGATGGGCATTCTAAGGCAAGATGGTACATCCGCGAGGGGCCGAACCCTAAGCTCTCGCAATATATGCAAGTTTGGCTTTTATAAGGAGTGAGTGTAGTTTTCCAAATCTATAAGATTAATCGCTGTTCTGCGATTCTGCCATTCATGCTCTTGTGCCTCAAGGGCTTAGATGTTTGTCCCGATATGCAGGTCCAGGGCTGAAACTGACCTGCCCAGCAGCTTGGACTGGCAAAAGAGCACCAAATGGACTTGATCAAACTTTGAGGGATGGAGCGCTGGCGATTCTTTTGAGCTTCCCTTTCAGTTGAACATATCATTGCGGCATCGGGGACCGCAGTCCAAGAGCCTCCAAGTTCCAAGATCTTAAAGCTTCCTAGTTTTCTCCAGCAGGCAAGAAGTCAGAGTCCAAAGCAAACAAGTAGTATCCCATGCACTAGCTGCTAGCTCAAAGCAAGTAGCAAGAAACACCTGGCGAGCTTGCGTTTCTGTCGCGCACCTGAAGCTGAAAGCCGGACAAGAATCAGAGTCAAAGACTGAGTAGAGTGCCATTTCTCCAGCCACTTGGAGTGTCACCCACAATTCGGGTTGCCAGAAGGAGAGCGTCAAATCTCATGATTTTCAAGGTGGATTTAAGGCAATGACGTCACAAGAGCACAAGGTTTCTTTCTTTGAGCACGAAGTGGCCAAGAGGCCTTGGGAAGAGGCAATTGCCGGGTAGTCAAGTTCAAGACCTGAGTCCCCGAAGATCATTTTTTCATGCGAACTCAACCTTCTATTATCTTTAAAACTTAACTTGCTTATGAGTAACAAGTAGTATAGGATTTATGATGTGCTTTTAGACAGCAGTTTTTCAAGGTTTCCCCCATGAGGAAAACAAGGACCCAGACGCACTTTGCTCAAATCTCGAGGTGAAGTTGCCAAGTTTAGGGGGAAGGACGCCCCGGGGTTCGCAGACGGCCCGCGAAGTGCGCCGAGAAAACTCCAAGGAGGAGACGCAGGGAGTCGTTACCATCGAGGTTCACAATTGGAGACTCGTGGAGCTGCTGTGTTTTGCGTCCTCCAAAAACCAAGCACCACTTTGCCATGAGATGCTTTTGCTTAGGAACAAGTGCCTTACTAGTAGTAACAAGAAGCTACTAGGAACAAGTGCCACGCTACTAGGAACAAGTGCCTTACTAGTTGTAACTGTAGGGAAATGTGGGGTCCTGACGCAGGAGCCGCAGTCGAGACACAGGCAGCCTCTTAGCAGCATGGCGACGACTTACCGTGGCAGTGAAACTGATGGCAACATATTCATTTGAGGTCCAGCGCAGAGACTTCCAGGCCTGTTCCCAGCAAGCCAAAGAGGCTCACCAGCACTTTCCAGCAACTTTCCAGTTTGTTAAGTTTATCCGAATCTTGACAAGTTTGGTTGCTACATACAACCCTTGGGTTTGGTCCCTTGGATGAGTCGTTTGCTGGCTGCAAAAATTGCAGGGTGGCGACAATCCTGGGTTTCGAACCCTCGCCGACACACAGCGCATCCATGCTATCAACAGACTCTTGGCAGAGTTTGTCAAATTTGCCGGAGGTGCCAGGTTGAGACGATTATGTGATTATCGAACGATATCGTCAAATCGAGCTGTTTGTTAATGCTGCTTTAAACATTTTTGAGCCAGTGTTGCGCGTTGCGCAAGAACAACTTGCTGTTGTTGCTTCGCTTCCCAGCAGTGCGAGTTCGAATGAGCGGCCAAGGACAGCACAGATGCATCACCAATGATCGAGTTTGACCTTTTGAGGCCTTTGTCCTGAACAGATGGCCGCAGCATAGGACGGAGAAGCAGTAGGGATTGAGCACTGATATGCCATTCATATATATATATATATATTATACAGTATTTAAACATTTGGTACGCCACATTACGTGATTCTACTTTTAAATATGTATAATTACAAGTACGTATTGAATATTGCATAGTCACATAATCAAGACAGAGAAGGCAGGCACGCTGGACGCTTTCTCAATGATTCTGGTATCATAAGTAGCTCATTCTCAAACTCTCACCCCAACAAGCCAGCATTAATCATTAATTCTAGCGCTTCTCATGATCACAGTGCTTGTTTTTCCAGTGTGTTTTTCGTGGTTTGTTCGTTGGTTTGTGTTTGTGCTTCTTTTGGTATAGTTTTTGTTTTTATGCTTAGGGCATCTCAGCACTCAATTGGCTCTTGGAGTTTACAGGTCTGAAATTGAAGATGCTGCAACGCCATACCGAGGCAGATAGAGGAGTTTGGACATGAAACCTGCGAGCTTAGTGCCCAAAGCCTTTGATTTCATTGCATGGCGACCAATCGCATTGCATACGGCGGATGTCTCCCAACAATACTTTCTAGTCCAACAGCCAGGGAGCTGAAGAGTTTCCAAAGTGCTCGCCGGTTCATTGGATGGATCACTGTTTTGGCATCAATCAAGTCACTGCTGTTTTAAGATTTGGGACTGTGGAACTTGAGGTTCTTGCAAGAGTTATCCGCGACTCCTATTTGAACAAAGACCTTGCAAAATAACAACCAATTGATTAATTTGGGATCGGCTTTTTCAAGAATCAATCATCAATCACCATCCCAAGGTGGTTTCGTGGACTGATGTTTCTGTTGACTGCAGGTAGTACGGCCATGGCATCCCGGTCCTCTGATGACTCCTCTCGAGCTTCAAGTGCAATTTTGGTGACTGAGATGCTTCATGCTCAGAAAATTGCTGGTGCCACAACATTTTACCATGTGGATAACTATTAGGGTAGAGCTTAAAGCAAGCCAATGCAGCCCATAAGGGATTGTTAGGCAATGGCATGCACGACATGTTGTAACAGGATGTAACAGGAACCCGGCCACCAAAACAAAAACGTGGCGTGCAAAGTTGACCACCCTCCCGGGCCCTTGTCCTTTCTCAGAGCACTTTGAGGTCAGACGTCGAAGACGTATTAGATGGCTCCAGTTTCCCGCTGGAAGGCGTGTTGTTTACGTGAGAGTTCATCTGAGCCGCGAACCCATCGACATGCCGCGGCCACCTCAACTTTTGCAGCTTCCACGAGTTGCAAAAATCCAACTTGCCAGTAAAGCTCAGCGGCCTGTAGGCCGGTAGACCTGACGTGCGCACTTTTGTGTTGGCAGGCATACCGGACTTGGAGCTTGTGAGGGCATCACCTGTTCCGGAAGCTTGCTGTGATGACTGGGCCAACCCTTGACACAATTCAAACTGTATATATAGAGAGAGAGTATGCCAATGCTTAGGCGCACAGAAAACTGAGACCTTCCCGCACACAAATTAGTATTATGTAACTTTTTGTCACGGCCAATTCTGTTGCCCTGCTGTGTTCGTAACAATAGCCGCAAGAGCCTAGATCTTTCAGTTCAATCCTTATGGACTTGCCCAGCTTGGACCCTTTTCCTGCTTGTTGAGTTGACGAGGACGCAGCAAACAACGGCTATATGTCTGTCGCATGGACCTCAGCAAATACCATGATCTACGACGAAAAAGGTGGACAGAAAGGTGGCTGTTTCACGTCCCAAGCGCCAAGGAGTTGTTGTTCCATGTGCAGTTTCCCCGGCAAAGCGGTGCAACAGCACCTGACTTTGAACCTTACATTCAGTTCTTGGTTGGGTATCATTGGATGGCGAAGCTGCTAGGCCATATGCATTTGGCCAGTTGTATAGTGCACAGTGTTGGTCTAATCTGTGGCGGGTTTCACTGTACCACTTTTGGCAAGGGTGTTTTATATTCATGACTTTTTTAAACAATATGGTTTTGATTTGTATGATATACCAGTTTATATGATGTCTTTTGCCAGATGTTGCTTTGGCAGCTGCCCCGCCAATAATAGCGAGGTTTCCCCGCCAGCACCGCCGTGCACGCGCAGCAGCTTGCACAGCCTGCAGCTTCCGCAGGTACCAAATGGTGCTGTTTGCTGAGCCCTTCCTCGGTGGTCAGATGGGGCCAATGAATAACACAAAAATGATTAACATACATACGGAGACATTGGTTCTTCTTTGACCGTTCTTTGCGTTCTTCATTCACTCTTTGGACTCTTTTTATTCTGGAGTTTGTTTCCTTGCATTTTTGGCAGATGGGATAGCTTCCTGTTTTTGGTCCTATATGAATGTTGTTCCTTTGGCATTTTTTGCGAAGATAGAACGCTCGATCCTCAATTTCAGGTTCACAACAATGTATTGCCTCGTACCTTTATCAATGAATTGAAGAAGGATGAGTGGATATAATTAACCATTTTACATGTATATGTATATATACACTTACTGTATGTATGTATATATAATTGATTACATATTCTTAATTAGTGAAACAACAGGTTGGTTTTGGAAGAGGATGACCTTCTGCTGAAGAGCTGACTTTTGAGCGCGTTTGAGCCGCAATCATTTGGAGAAGGGTGTGCTGAACACAAGCCGTGCTGGTGTTAAAGTAAAGGTTGCTTGCCAAGCGGAGGTTTGTCAGTTGCCAGGCGAGTAGAAGCGAGATACCTGCTCGTGCTTGGGGAAGCACTGGAAATTTACAGGCATCAGATGTGGCCTGCCGGCAAGAATGGAGTGAGAGAACTGACAGACCATGAACACGTAATGCAAGGGAGCCAGTTTGTACGGGGCTGATAGATGACTATATAGCTTGAAGCAGCACCCAAGTCAGAGGAAATGAAAGACCTCATCCAGATTCCTGAATGACTCCCAATCGCTACTAGGAACAAGGGCATCGCTACTAGGAGCAAGAACGCTACTAGGGGCTCCTGGCCATACTAGGAGCAATGTTCACTACTAGGAGCAAAGGGCATCACTGGCCTTTCTCTTCGCACCTCAGTCTCCAGCCAAGGATCGATCTCCTACAGTCTCACCCTTGAGAGCTAAAAGGACACCCTTTGAAGGGGCTGTTGTGTGCGCTTACACTAGAAGTGGGTGAGAGGCACATCAGCGGCCATGGGCAGTTTGGGCTAATGCCGATTGCGATAGCTAGTTGCTGTTATAAATTATTAGGTTATATTTTAACATACTTTACATTTTCACGACCATGACAACCAGATTCCTTTGTCTAACACTTGGGGAGGTGGGGTGTAGAATTTCAATCGGCGGAGTAACCGCGAAGTGCACAGAGCACTGGGTTGGTTTCACCGGATTGAAGAGGCCGACGGGCCTTGTCTAATTATTGGGCAAGAAAGGAGTTGGGACTATTTACACTGCACATGTGGTGGAGCTACCTTGTGCAAGCACTTTCATTGGATGCCGAACATGTCCACATCTCTAGAATCCCCATTGAAAGACCAAACGCACATACACACACACACGGATATATATATATATAGAGAGAGAGAGAGCACAGGACAACACACAAACACCCACCTGACCTTGCCAGGACCTACCGGCGCAATCAGTCAATGCCTGCAGGCAGGCTCTCATTGGGGATAAACATTAATCATTTCTTGATTTAACAATGTTCGCTACTAGGGGCTCCTGGCATCGCTACTAGGAGCAAGGACGCTACTAGGGGCTCCTGGCCTTACTACTACGAACAAGAAGCTACTAGGAGCTTTTGAAGAAGCTACTTTTGAAGCTTCAAAACACCCAACAGGTCCATTCCCATGCCTTGCAGAGTGTATGGTTTTGAGACTCATTGAGGCACTTCACCGGAAGACTGCGGAAGGCGAGGTCGCGGGGATTCGAGCAATTTGTCCCAAACGCCATGAGCTGCTGAAATGAAGCTTTATGAACTCATACCTCCATGACCTTTAGCCTTTAGCATCACTGCGAACCCGAACTGAAGGAGAAGCGTCATTATTCAGCATAATTTGGCAAGGTTGGTTTTTGTGTTTCCCATTTTGTTTCCCACGGTCTATATGCATGACCAATCAATTGCACTCTAACTAGTTGCAGCGATCTGAAATCGATACGACCAAGGAGCCTGCTGAAGACCATCATCAGGTTTTTTTTGAGTGCTCCTGATTCTAAGCTGAGCAAAGTCCAAAGCTGCAGGCCGATCACAAAACTAGAGGGCAAAAAGATCTACGACATTTACTACTGGGAGAAGGCCGGAGGTTTTGATGCTTTTGCTGAGTGGGGGATGGAACCTTTAAAGGGGTGATTAATACTATATTACAACTAATTCTGCTGCTGAGGCAAACCACTACTCTATGCTGACATGGGCTGATAGATGCGATGTGATCTTCAATTTAGAGGGTTTGGGTGACCCTCTCACCATTGATCAGCACAGTGATTCGAATCATTCATCCTAATGATAGATATGACAGCTCCCCAAGACCGCGGAGGGCACGTGCTCATCATGTTCATCGTTCAGGTGATCCAGGAAGACGGCGATGGCGGCAAGGTCGTCGTGTGCCGCAAAAAGACGGAGGTACCAGATCTGCACATGTTTCCAACGAGAAGATGAAGCAATCAACTGCAAGACTTGTGGACGCAATTCTTGGTTGCTCTACTCTTTGATTTGTTGGACTTTGCACCGCATGAGCCCCAAGTTTGTGAGGCGAATGGAGACTTTGACAAGGCAGGAAGATGGTGTGTCCCCTTTTGGGTAGCATGAAGCGTGCAATACATACATGCATATACATACACATACATACATATACAAGTATACATATATATATATATATGTGTGTGTGTGTATGTGTCTGTATACATACACATACATGCATATACATACAAAACCATACATACATACATGCATACATACATACATACATACACACACGGCTCAAGGTTTCAGGTCTCAAGCTGGCACGCCCGCATAAAGACCAGCTAGTGCAAGTCACCCGGCGTTGCACCACGTGATACACAAAGTTTGACACGGGCCTCACCGCCACACCCTTCCAAGAGTACCCCTTTCTTTGCCCGCAATAGTGTGGGACAAGTTCGAGGGCATCTCATCTGCGAGATCAACGTCCTCGGCACCTCAACCTCCGGGATTACCTCAACCTGGACTACTCCTTTGCAGGTGTCTTTGACCGGATCGTGGAAGGGGCCCTGATCTGTGCCATCCATCTAAAGTACCTCAAGGCCCTTGTGGAACCCCGGTTCCGGGATAATGTCTACCTGGTGCAGGGCCTACACCCCTTGCAGCAAATCCAATTGTACCAATTGGATCTGGCAGGATCGGCTTACCCCAGGTACACGCTGCAGAAGGTGTGGTACTATGTGGGCTACCACCTCCCCCAGCACCGGCAAGGGCAAAGGCTATGGCAAGCCCAACAACAAAGCACCAAGAGGCCCTCAGACATGGCTTGAGACACCACCAGGACTATCTAAGGTCCGGCCTATGAAGATCTCCAAGGTCCAACAAGAGGCCACAGAACTACTTGCAGCAGCATGGACGACCTTACCAGAGGACACCCAGAGCAAGTTGCAGGCCATTGGCAAAGCCAGAAGCACCAGCACTCCAAGATGTGTTGAAGACCCACATGGAGGCCTTGCCGCAACCAGTACAAGAACTGGTCACCAAACTGACCACAGCCGAGCCATGCACTGAGAGAGAAATCGCTGCCAAACTCAAAGGCAGGGTAACGGAGCTGAAGAACCTCTCGATGAAGAAAACTCAGTTGCAAGGCCGCATCGACCAGGTCAAAACCCAGTATGCAGCACTCCTCACGGATATGCAAGACCTCCGGGTCAAGCTCACAGAAGGACAGCAAGCCCTCAAAGGTCTCTCAGAAGAGTACATGAAAGCTGTCAATCAGACGCCACACCGCAGAGCTGCCATCTACGTCTGGAGAGGCCGAACAGATTCCTATGGCAGTAGAATCCTTTGTCCATAGTTTGGGCATTTCACTGACTGAGGAACAAAAAACTCAGCTGCATGGTCTCTTGAAACGGCCCAATCAAGAAGCCGAAGACTCCATGAAGCGCCGGAAAACCGAGGGCACACAGCTGACGCCTCCAGGACATTGCGGGTAACACTCACTTTTCGATGTTTGAGGGGTGGACTTTCCCAGTTCCGGATGATGACATCATGTCATGTGAAGGGCTTGAAAGTCCGAACTATGGGCAAGTTTTTGAAGAGATCCAAACCTCCGAAGATGTTTTTCAGTTGAACAGAGTCTCACACACACCACAGTGGGATTGCCGTGCTGCACCAGGCTCACAGCAGCAGCCAGGCAGATCAGCTCCAATGTGTGCAGGGGAACATGCACAGATTACTGCTGAAACCAATACTTCAGGGGAGAGCCACGCCACCAATGACGGGGAACAGTCATTTCATGGTGGACACGAGCACTTTCAAGCAAATTTTGATACTGACAGAGCACCCTTTTCAGAGTCTACTGAGCCAACCTCAGGGATAGCCCATGGCACTGACTACCTCTCCATCTTAGGAGGAGCGGCATCCTTTGACGACACCTTGGGCAGTGCTACACAGAAGACTCCAGCCATGCAGAACTATGCCACGGCCACTGACTGCATTTTGCAGAATCTCACAATGGCTGTTGGCAATCCCAGTGTAAGATGCTTTGCCAATGCACCATGGCGTGCCTTCACGTGGGTTTGCGCCCTTCTCCAAGAGACCAGCACGCAACCTTGGGGAACTCTACAGGAGGCAGTGCAGGAATCCATTGACATGGCTGAATCAGTGGACATCCAAGCTCTGCCAGGATTACGAGATCTTTGGAAACAACATGATCTCAATGTTCAACGAGATGCCAGCCACTTTGTCAACTCCTTGCGGTTGCTGTCTCAAAGCCGAGCTTTTCACTACCGCTTTGCTGAAATCAAGGAAGGGGGCTACCTCACGGATCATGTCCAGCAACCCATCCTTGTTCCATACCCAGATGACTGGCCCGAAGATGTGACGCTGCAGCAGCTTATCAACAACTGGGCCAACCAAGGCATGGGTCAATACCTGCTGGATGACAAAAAGCTCCTGGTGTGTCATGTGACCAGGAACACCTGCATCAATGGGGTGATGACCAAACACCAAAAGCCCTTCAATCCATACGGCACCTTCACTATGCCACGCTCCCTGGATGGCTTTACAAGATCGACTACTGAGTTTGTGCCTGCAGTGCTCATTTGCCATCGTGATCTCACCAGCACGGCCACTATTTTGCCATCCTCATCTATCGCGACCTCATGTGGCTAGCTGATGATGGGCAGGTACCCACCCATTTGCCCAACTTGACACCAAGCTTGGCCAGCCAGATCACCCAGGTCTGGGCTGTGAGCCTCGACTGCTTCAAGACACCTCAACAAGTACTACATGGACTCCCGCCACCAGAAGAGCCAGACTACGAGCCACCTTTGCACCCAAGCCCAAACAAAAGGGCCCGTCTTGAACAAGACCACAATGTGCTACACTTTGGCAACGTCACAAATTTTGGCAGACAGGTGTTGGAGTGGTACTGGACACGCAACAGCGGCATCTACATCTTTGCCGAAACCCACTTGGACCCACAGAAACACTTTGAGACATGCCAATACCTCACAGTCAGAGGCAGAACAGCATTTGGCACACCGGCGGCACCAAACCACATGGTGGAATGCTGGTCATTGCAGATCCGGCCAGTGGTGTCACTCAGTTTGAAGCCTACACCAATCAGGGCTGCGGGTTTCAGAGCTTTTTGTGGCAGGCGACTGAAACCACGATACTGGTCATTGGTTTGTATCTCCGAACTGGAGAAACACTTCAAAGTGAGACGAATGCTGCCATCATGCAAAGCTGTTTGTTGGCTCTGCTCACTCACACTGCACACCCCTTTGTGTGCATAGGGGGTTGGCAAAACTCCCCAAGCTCCATCGCTGGCACGGTCCTGGCTTCAAAATTTCACTTTGGCATCCTGGCACCAGATCACAGCGTCCTGTCTGGCAACACCATTGACTATGCCATTCTCCACAACACCCTGGCAGGAACCACCTCCCTGCTCACGGAATGGTCAGTTCCATCAAGGCCTCATGCATTGCTCAAGCTCAAGCTCGACCTCGAGGCGGCCACCAGGGAGTATCGTCAGATGCCATACTTCCCACCAATGCCAAAAGTGCCTGACATTGACTTCAGACCTTGGACAACCTACCAATCTCAGGCCCAGGTGGTTGAGCTTTGCGGCATTCCACCCAACAAGCCGGCACAAGCTTGGGCAGCCTGGCTGTCCAAAACAGAACAATACCTCTTGCAGGAGAACCCTTGGGCGGCCCAAGGACGGGGCTACCAGCTTCAAGTGGTCACAAAGCCCTTGGTCTCTCAGCGCAAGCCTCACACCTGGCGCAAAGGCCGACCAGCATTTTGGGAGCAGCTTAGGGCAGTACTTCAACTTGCACTCCAACAACCTGCGACCACCAGCCATGGCCCAGTCCAAGGCTACATGCAGAGGATCCGCCATGCACACAGGCATTGGGTTGGGGCTCCAACTTGGGTGCAATTCCTTGATGCAAGTCATCACTGGCACCGATACAGGGATCCGCATGCAGCTGAGTTACTCCTCCAGACAATCCATCACCAACTTCAAGAAGCCCAGCAGGAGGCCCATGAAGAAACTGCTCTTCAATATCGACAATGGCTTCAGGAAGGATACCAAAAAGGCCTCAAAGGACTCTTTAGAAGTTTGAAAAGCAGTGAGCTGGCATGGGAACGACCATACAGGATGACCCCAATGCCGCAGCGCATGGATCAACGGCTTGCTGACTGGGGAGGACTTTGGCAGATTCGACAGGACAACAACCCTAGCCCGAGGCCGAGTCTTCAACAAGCAGCTTTACAACAAGCAGCAGCCCTAGAGCCACTGACGCAAGGCATGCTGCTCCTGGTCCTAAAGGCACTCCCGGACAGAGCAAGTGGACCTGATGCGGTGTCCACCCAGATGCTCAAAAGCATTCCCCCGCTGGCTTTGACACCATTGCTCCAGCTATTCCAGACCATGGAAAACACTGCAGAACTGCCCACCCAATTGCAGATGCGTCTGGTGGTAATGCTGCCCAAAAATCAGCGGCTGGAGAGACCAATCACGCTCACCTCCACCTTGTGGCGAGTGTGGTGTCGGCTGAGAAAACCGTTGTTGGACCAATGGCAGCAGCAGCTCCCACAGAGCATGAATCATGACAAAGCTCGACCAGGTGCCAATGTCCTGCATGTAGCACTGGAGCGCCTTTTACGTCAGGAAGTCACCAAAGCTCGAAAGCAACATGGCATCACTGTGCTGATGGATATGTCAACGTTCTAGGACACCATTCATCTGGCCAGTTTGCAGCAAGAAGCGCTCAAGCTCGACTACCCACCACTACTGCTGGAATTGGCTACGCAGCTTTACTGTGGTCCCAAGGCCATCCTGGCGGAACAGGAAATGACTCCTTTCTTCCATGTCGACCATGGAGTACCAGCTGGATGCCCGCAAGCACCACTCCTGGCCAAGGCGGTCCTGGCGCCAGCGCTGATAGGAACACCACCCCAAAGCCAATCTTTCCAGTTGGGTCGACGATGTGGGCTTCGATCTCACTGGAGCAACAGCTTTGCAGGTGGCCAGACAAGCAGTTGAGGCCTATCGAGACCTACAACATCGGCTCACCAGC